AACATTTCCTCGGATCGCTCGAGGGCCGCCTTTAACTTACGAGAGCTGACGGCGAGGGCAGCTTTCTCCGACTCCAACTCCCTAACGCGATCCGAGGATTCCGACCCTTCCTCGGCAAGGACAACGGCCATCTCGGCCATCTTCATCATCCCGACCATACTGGCGGCCAGGTGTTTTCTCCGGCTTTCTTTTTTGAGCCGCCTGATAGTCTCGGCCTCGTCGTTGCTCATCGTCAGGGGAAACCCCTCGAAGAAATCTTTCTCTTTGAAACAGGGGGGTAAGCCGAAGGCCCTCGTAGCTACAGACTCGTCGCCAACCTCCGACCTATTATCTGCCCGACTTCTCTTTCTCGCAATCAGCTCAGTGGGCTGCTCAGCGTCAGGGGAGCCCGGGGACCCACTAGAGGCATCTCCCAAACTGGTCGGCGGGCCCATCCTCGTGGCCTGTGGAGCTCGCACCAGCCTTTTGTTTACTCTCTTGTCCTGAGTCAGTTTCAAAAGCCTCTCCCTTCGTTCATCCATGTCGCCTGCAAAGAAGAGCAAAACTCGGGTTAGTTGCGAGCAAGCAAAAAACAACGAAAATGGAATAAAACAACAAAACAAAAGCAAGAAAGCTAGTAGATCTATGGCATGCCCGTAAGATTGGAACTCGACGAGAACTTTGGTATCGATGGGACGGGCCTCGAATGCCGGGTACCCATCCTCGTCAAGAATATCTTCCCCCTCCCTCGTGACCCACCGGGAAGGGAAGAAGCTGTCGACATACTTGCAAAGGATACCATAGGCTTCTTCATCCTCGACGCTCATGCTTCCCGCGAGCGTATGATAGTACCTGGTACCATGGTCGTAATGGCCCGAGCACCAATGTAACGGGAACTTGGATACGTGCCCCATTGCCGGACGACCCTCGGCATCCATGAGGGGCTCCCCATCCTCGTCGACTACCGCGGTTTCCTCTTCATACATAGAATCCAAGGCAGTCTGGGTGACCGGCTGCAGAACGTACCACTTGTCCTTGAAGCCCCGGACCGAATCCATATACATCCTGAACAGCCTCTTCGACTGTTTCAGGGAAATCCAGTTATGCCTGCCTCCTCGATACTGACGCTGCAGGTGAAAAACCCTGAAGAAAAGGGGAATGGTCGCCCTGATCCTCAAGAAGCGGCATGTCAGCTCGAACGCCCGAAGAAAGGCGATCGAATTAGGATGAAGTTGTGAAGGGGCCAAGTTCAGATGGCAGAACACCCCGGCTTGAAAATCACTGAAAGGGAGCTTAAGACCGAGATCCCTAAACACGATCTCGTACATTGGAAACCCATACTCGGTGAACTCCGAGCAGATTCGTGCATCGATGGACGGCCTCGTCACAATAAAATTCTTCTAGAAACCCGACTGACTACCGCCGTGTTCGATGACAGTATATGCGCGCCGACTACGCTGACAGTACGCCGAGGCGATCCCTCGGGGCTCAGCGCCCACCCAATCCAACGAGGGGTCATCGACGGTATCAACTAAAGTCACGTTCTCTTCGGTACTTTGGTCCTCGACTTCATTTTGCCTCGAAGATTCTGGTTCATCGGCCATTTACCTACAAAGCACGGGAAACCGGTGAAATTCGAGAGCAAATCTGCATGCTCGCCACAGTGACGGGAAGTAGTGCGCGACAAGCCAAACACGGACACCCCAGCTCGACCAGGCATCGGGAACAACAAGAGAATAGCATGAACACCCCGGACGATAAACATGGATGACTCGAACAAGGTCCGGACTTCACCTGCCCGACACTAAGATGCTACGACGAGTTGTCCTACATACTTCCTAAGGGGTCAACATCTCGGCCAGCTCATGGGTGCACCGACCAAAACTATGAATATGACGGGCAATATCGTAGATCATATGCCTAGAACTACGAATGTCACGGGCAGTATCATAGATTATGCGCCTAAAACCATGAAGGTCACGGGCAGCATTGCGAGTCACGTACCTAAAACTATGGATTTACCGGGCACAATCATGAATCTACCAGGCACTACTCCCAGATACGGGTTTCTAACATCCAAATAACACAAAAACTACTTACGACGGAGAAAAACAGGAGGAATGAACACTTACTTGGAAGAAAAGAAGAATGTACGGTAGCGATGAGAGTAGTCAACGGAGGATGGTGCGGTAATCTCACGGTGTTGCAGAAAACAACGGCAGCAGAAGTAGAGGAAGAAGGAGAAGCGCGAAGAAGAAAAATAAATTATGGGACCCAAGGATCCTATTTATAGGGATGACGTGGAATACGAAACGTCGCCCCGGGGAGCCACGAACTTCCCCTCCTCGACATCTACTTCCCTAGGCAATGATGACCCTATTGTCGCTAGGGTGGCGTCACGGTTCCCAAGGATTGCCTCGTGTATCCAACAAACACAGCCCGCGAGGAATTCCCCGAGCACGCGTCGACGAGGATTACGCTACGAACGTAACCCGTGAGAAACTCCTCGAGCGCGCATCAGGAAGCAATATCCTGGTCTGGGCATCAGATCCCCGTGGTAAAGGTGAGCTGAAGTCAAGTCATAACTCCTGCTCCAGGAGCAAACGACTTGGGGGGCTCCTATTCTGGACTGGGCCCGCCCTGGCCCAAAGTGAAGATAAAGACCCAATCCAAGCAAACTCCTCGAGGAATGCGCACCCGCGGATCACCGCCGACGTGCCCGACCACAGACTGTAGCCATGCCCGCCATTGCCCGTGACACATGGTGTCCCCGACCAAAGGAACTCCAGCTCGAGTCCTGCTCGAGCACTCTCCCCGTATGGCAGAATCTGTCCTCTCTGACCGTTATCGAATCATCTAAACTCCGGAAAGACCGCGTCTTCGTCCCTCCTCATTCTTCGTAGAGCATCACCAGGAAGGGGACCACGTGCGGGGCCCCACTACACACGTAGAACCTGACAGTTCCTTTATTGGGCCAGTTCTTGTCGGTCCAATGAGGGGACCTTGGCCCAGCGTTGGAGGCTATAAATATCCTTTGTTCCTAGAGGGTCAGGTATTCATCTCTTACGCATCTATACACTTTTTGCCTGCTCATTCCGTCACTCATTTTAGCATCGGAGTGTCTTGCAGATACCCCCCCCCCCCCCCCCCATCTCACTTAAACTCTGTCTGAGCCAGTCGTGACGGTCCAAATCTGATCTGGCACGATCAATAACTTAGTTCTATAAACAAACATTTTTCCAAACACACTCCTTAAAATCATAAACATTGTTTAACGACTTTAATATTGCATCAGTCGTTGTAAGTACAATAACATAAAAATACTTACTTTTGTTCAACCAATAAAATGATATGATTATCGGGGGACTTTTGTTTAAATATTATAAACATTTCAATAATTTTTATCATTTTTAAGTACTCTTATAAAATTGTTCATAGTTTTGCATATCATTTATTATTTAATTATCATGTTACTAAGGATACTCTGAATTAATTTATGCACTTGTGTATGGAAAATCAAAAGAGCACGTTGTTTCAATCAAAAACTTAAAGGCTCAATTTGGTTAGATAGCCAAACAACTAGTTGATCAACAAAGAGTAACATTTGATGCCAACACTTAAATCAACCCGAATAAGCATTGCAATGCAATCACAATTAGAAGCAATAAGCTGAGTGAAAATGTAGAACCTAAAAAAATTGTTGTTATAGCAAGAGAAAGTCAAGAGGAAAAAGAAGAAAAATGAGAAAAAAAGAGAAAGACATATTACTATAAAAGAAACTGAACTGGAGAAAGAAGTAAGTGAAAAAGCAAAGATAAAAAAGTCAAAGAACAAGGTAGAAAAAATTGAAGAATTCAACACTTAAAAATTTGCCTTATCCCCTTACTATAACCAAAAACTATAAGAAAGACAATATTCAAGGTTTTTAGACGTTTTCAAAAGACTGCAGATAACCATACTCTTCTCTGAAGCCTTGGAGCAAACCTACTTATGCTAAATTCATGAAAGAGATCCTAACAAAGGAGAAAAAATATATTAATGAGAAAACCATCCAATTGAAAGCAAGTTGTAGCACCATCATTCAAAAAAACTCAAAATTCATGTATAAATAACTTTACTTTTAATTTAAACTAGAATATGACCCGTGCATTGCACAGACATACGAGAAACAGATAAATTATATATAAATATGAATGATTTATTTTAAAATATATATATATATATATATATATATATATATATATATATATATATATATATATATATATATATATATATATATATATATATAGTTTTCATAAAAATCTATTTGATTAAAATGTATTTTAAAACGTAGTATGATTTATATTTAAAAAAACTAAGGATTTAATATATCAATAATATTACATTTCATTAATCAAATTTTAAAAATCTTTTAATCTAAATTATTATATAAATTGAATGATTGTTATTAAATTTTGACATTCTCATATAATTTATTATAATTTATGTCTGCTAGACATGCACCGTAAGTTGATTTTTTTTTTTTTTTGAGGATGCAGGCATTAATGGGGGCAGACGTGCTATTAAACTTTAAAGATACAGGAGACCTAGTCCACCGAATTCCGTATTTTGGTGGGAGGAGTCAAAATTTGCAATCCCTCTTCTCTACTAGGACTGTTTCGCCTTTAATATTTTAGGATTTTTGTGTAGCTGTATTAAACACTGAGACATCTATTTATCACCCCTAATCGGTCCGGTCTAACCTTTAAACTGTGCAACCTGACATCGAGGCCTGCATATGCCTGCGTAGCCTGTCCTTTAATGCCCTGCTCGACTCTCTTTCTCAGTTACACATCAAACACACCTATCACACATGCTATGCTCTTTCTTCAAACCCAAGTAAATTGCCTAGCTACAAAGAAAATGACCTTAAACCAAAATGGTCCCAACTTTTCATACCATTATTATTACACAACCATCTATTTTTCTAACTAATAATAATTCTTTTTGGAAACTGAAAAATTATCTCAAAACAATACATGTTTCTCTCTCTAGCACCTATATCTTTGAACAAACCAGTGTCTGATGTTCGACATGTGTCAGTGTCAACACAACATCATCGATCAAGGACACAAACCATAAACATAAGCACAAAGATTCAATCTTTGATTCACATTGTACTTGGACACATTTTTCACAAAGATTCTTTCCTTATTCATGATGATGATGCATTGAACATGTTCTTTCTTCGTCCTTACAAAATTGCCTGCAAATACATACAATCAATCACCCCCCCACAATGTTACAACATAGTACTATCTACTCATACCTACGTGTATATTTTGTACGGTTCATGCTTTACATACCCCTTTATCATTCACTGTTAACAACAATAATGAGTAATAACACAATGTAACAGTAACACCATTTGTTTTTGCTCTTCCTACTTTCTACCTTTTTAAGGAACACATTTTCCATACTTCCCTTCACAAAACATTAAAAAAATTCCAACGTGTTTGGAAACACGGCGAACGTATAGATGCACGGCATGAAGCTTTGAGATAGACGTGCGGTAACAACACTGTGAATCTGATATATTTGGATGGCATGTAGTCAACAACCTCATACATTCACACAGACAGCACACCACTGGTCGTTGGATTGAGATCAAACAATCAAGATTTCATGCTCAAAATTAAAGTTTTAAGAAAATCAAAATTTGCTTTGAAATTTGGACTGTTTGATCTCGATACAACAATCATCGATGACCTGACTGAGTGAATGAGTATGATTATTAACTACAGACAAACCGAATTCGAATTTGATGCTCTCCAAACACAAACTGCTTTCAATTCAGACAACAAACTCATGTAACAAATGAGGATTGCCAAACTTGTTGTGTTGTTGCTTTCCACTGTCTGTGAAATGATAATCTAACAAATCATTATCCGGCGAAGAAGCCAATGTTTGATTACGCCTTTTATTGACGTCATCATTCGACAAACCAAATCCATCACTTTCCGAGTTCCTCAACTCCAATGCAAGTGAGACATTTCCACCAACAGCAAAGTTACTCAACTCTGATAAGTCATCATAAGTAGTAGGAGTTGAATCCATTAAGCAGCCATCACCATTTTGGTTTATCGAGATAGGTGCGTTCGAATACGGACTATTGTTCATGTTAAACCTTTGTTGATCACCCTGCATTTTCCCAATTCTAGAATCCATCACATTCGTCCAATGATCATTACTTTGAATTCCTCTTTCCAATTCTGTCGCTCTGGTGGCAGAAGAGGATGCATGATCCAGCTTCAACCCTGCGATTTGACCTTGCTGTTGAGCGCTATCAATGGTTATTAACTTGTCATGAGACTCATCTCTTTTATCATCCCACGCTCGAAGATCATCTTCTCTTGGAGCTTTCGGCGTGTTTTCTGATAAAAGATTGCTACTTGTCTCGGAATCGCCAAACTCTTCTTTGTACATTTCTTCGACCATCGGTTTCCATAGACGCACCCTTGCATTAATGAACCAATTTGCCACCTGATATGAACTAAATAGTGATTAACAAGATGCAACCAAAGGACAGAACTATAACTAAGTGTGTATCAGATTCTGATTTTGCACTGACGAAAATTGATTTTGTTTAAAAGTGAGTTGAATGTACAATAATTTATGTTTGAGTACATTCACGTCAAAGCGAGTTTAACAATTAATTTGAAGCTAAAAATCAATTCGGGGAGCAAAAGTTCCAACTTTTAGCTTCAAATCGGAATCAATTCAATTCAAACACATTCACATGTTAAAATCAATTCTACACCTCTAAAATCAATTTTACCGCATGCAAAAGTAAAATCGAACATACACAGAAACATATTGTGGAGTTAAGAAAACATTAATTATCGTACCTGGTTTCGGGTCAAGCCTGTTTGTCTTGCCAGCATAATTTTCTCCGAGTCCTTAGGATAACTAATATCAAATGAAATTTGAAAGCAAATTTTAAGAATAAAATTACTCAAAAGTAATTATGATAACACTAACAATGGAAAACAAATGAGTATAGCGGAACCTACGGATGAAGGAAATGCTCGAAGAGCCACGCACGGAGTATGGAAACAGAGCTTTCGGGAAGTCCCCTCTGAGGTCTCCAAGCTTGTCTCATTACACCAAGCTGCTGAAGAGCTTTCTGTTGTCTAAGCTGCTGATCGACATACCGGAGACGAGGTATTCCCTCTTGTTCTCCGAGGCTCCTTTGAGTCACTTGAATTTGACCGCTAATAGCATCACGCAAACAGCGAAAGTGACGAGAAATTGTGCGCAAAGCAAGAGCTGTATATGGCTCGGCTGCTCCACAACCAGCAACCATGTCGAAAGATGACACCACCATCTGCATCTGATGACAGTATTGTCGGTATCTTTTGTCTACCTACAAACACAAAGAATACGAATTATTCACTATCTAACACGTTCATCATCATAACATTGTGTAACCAATTCATTGCTACTACTGGAAAAAAAAACATTGTAGAAAGATTAAAACACGAGAATATAACAGTTTACCTCATCCAGCATGGACAAAAGTTTTGTTTTCTTGTCTAACAAGTGCTGTCGTTCTGCAGGCGATAGCTCAGTCGCAGAGTTGTTTGCATTAGAACCATTAGCACCCGAAGATATTTGCATAGATTGGCTTGTAGATTTTCCATCAGAATCTTTGGAACCGTCTAAACCAGCATCACGAAAGCTTTGTTGTTTCTCCAATCCAGTTTGTTTCAACGTCTTTCGAACATTAACTATTTCATCAAGCAACTCCTGTGCCGCCTTAAGGTAATGTGCATTAAGTCCATTGTTCGGAAGAATCGCTGATCTGTGCAGACACTGATCAGATTGACCTTCGTTAAGACCTATCGAAGAGTGCGGATTATACAAACCCTCCCTTTTGACAGAATTATTATATGCAATACACTCCGCATTTCTCAATTCCTCGTCATCTTTAAGAGACGCCGACCCTTTTAAATTCGAAATCTGAGCATTCATTAGCGAGGTGAAACCGTTGCCGGGATACTGATATTGAAAGGAAGGCATCATTGTTCCAAGGCTAAGAGACAAGCCTTGACATTGTACATTTTGCTCACTCTCAATGAGTCCAAATTGCGTCGTTGGATCGCTCGTAGCAGCATTCGAATGCCCTTGACCAATAGACTGCATATTCATTGAGTCGTCCATAGATGCGATAAACTTCAACTCATTTTGTCCTCCTTCAGATTCACTATAGTTATGAGGTAACAAAGTGTTCCCCGAAATCATCTCAGCGTAAGATCCCGACGAAAACGCTTGGTTCGGATACATTGTAAGCAAGATTAATGAATACCCTTTACAATGGAATAATCAGATTGAAATCTCCAGCAACAAGACTAATAAAATAAACACCTTGTTGCTTTAAACCTAAACCAAATTAAAATAATCCAACGTGAGAAAAAAAAGGTTATAATTATGAAAATTTATAAAATAATTCCTCAATAATGAAATTTTCATGAGGCAAAAACAAACATCATAGACACAAAAACATAGGTACGAGGTAGCAGAAAACTATGCAAGAAACCTAAAAACCAAACAAAAACACAAAAACAAAAAACATTCACAGAATTCAACTCAAACCCTATTCTCAGTGTTAAAGCCACAACAACAAGATGAAACTTAACTGAAAATTAAAAAAACATTAAATCAAAAACAGAACACAATCATCAAAATCAAAACCCTTTTTTTATATAAGAAAAAGTTAACTTTTTTTTTCTTTGTTCAAGTACAGTGACTTTTTAAGCATTCAAAAATTCAGCTTTTTTGTTTTAATCATCAAAATCTAATAACCCTTTAAATAAAAACATAGTCATGACTGTAAAAAACATCATCAAAAACTACCAAAAAAAAAAAACAGTACTTCACCATCATCATCCTCTTATCCTTCTTTTTTATAGTAATAATTCATTTTTTCAGTATTAATATTATCAGAAAATCATAATAAGAAAGAAAGAAAAAAAAAGAGAAAAAGAAGAAGAAGGAGAAGAAAGAGATAGAGAAATAGTAGTAGTACCTGAAAGGAAATGGAAAAGGGATAGGAAGGAGGAAGAAGAAATAGAAATTAGGGAGAGAGAAAGACAAGAATCCAGAGTGTGGGGAAGGTGAGACAAGTGGCAATCCCAAGAGATATAAATTTGAAAAATATATAAACTTTGGCACCAACCAATCACAAATTATATCATTAATAATATGAAAGAAATTGCTCACTTCCCCCATGCCAACTACTTTTTTATTTATTATTTTTCTTTAATGGATCATCATAACCAACTTTTCTTTTTCTAAACAATATATTACACTAGCTTTTTTTTAAATTCATATAGTATTTGTATAAGGTTTTTAAAGCATTAGATAAGTTAGTGTGTAGATTCAAATTTGTAATTGATTTTAATAGATATGTATATATTTATTGTGTAAAATAATTTTATTCGGTCATTCAATAAAAAATTAATTTCTTATATTATTTAATTAATTTTAATATATTTTAACTATTTAGTTACATATTATTCATTTGATATCAATAACATTATTTTATATATTGACGATGCATTCTTTATAATTTTATTTTATTTTAATATTTAATGTATTTGATTTTTTACATCTAACTCTTACAAAAACAGAGATTATTGTGATTATAGGAAATTTTACAATTGATGAATCTTACAAATTAATAAAAGATAGTCACAATTATAGAAAATGTAGATAATGTTTAAACAAATTCATAAAGAGTAAGTATATGTTTGATTACATTTTTGGAAGACTCGGAAAATTTTAGAAATGTAAATTTATTATATGTGATTTTGAATGGTTTGATTTTTAAAAATAGAATTGACTCCGCTTATAAAATTAATTTTAGTTGAAGTTAAAATTTGTAAATTTTATCTTTTTAACTGATTTTAAATATTTTTATACTGAAATTTATTTTTTAACTCATTTTTATATAAATGTATTCAAATATAAATCAATTATGTCAACTCAATTTTGTTAAAATCAATTTTATCAAATTAAAAAAAAAATTGAAAAGATAACTTGTTTTTCATATAAAAAATTTAATATGGTAAAATTTATTTATTCAAAATTATTCAATATTTATATTCATTCTTAAACATATGTTAGATGTAGAATTTGATATACGGACTTAGAGATACACATCATTTATCTATAGATATGTGGGTTCTCTCACTTATAAAGTGTTCAATATTTCTTTTTCTAATTAAGGTAGGATTTATTTCTCACACTTGATTCTTAATATATGGTCTCTTGAACTCGTGACTCATATGAGTTTTGAATTATTTACTTTGAGTTTATTTAAAATTTTAGGGAAATTACACTCACCTCACCTAAGGTATATTAAAATGACACTAAGATTCCTCTAAATTTAAAATGTACATAGACCTCCCCTGAAGTCTATTAAGTTTATTGAAGGATAATTTAGTATTTCTAGTTATTTTGATAGTTTAGCTATTAAGTTTATTTATTAGGGCCTACATGACAGTTTACTTTTTGTATAAATAGACTAGTAGTAGCAATCATTTGTATCAATTCCTTTTGTAACCTTTCTAGTCGCCATTGCAGTAAATATATTTTCTCTTATCTTTCCTTCACCTATTAACCTTGTACACCAACAATTGGTATCTAGAGCTCCAGTTGGATTCACGGAAAACACGAGTGAAACGGTGAGGCGTTGTGTGATTGATTTTGGTTCTTGAATTTGTGTTGAATTTCAAACAAAATCTGAACATAATCACATTTCCTGATTCTGTGGGATTGAGAAATACTGTGTTTGTGAGATCTGAGTATTCTGTACAAGGTTGAAGATGAACGAAAACAGCAGTCTAAGCACCAATCTCCCAGTATTTAATGACAAAAACTAGAATTGTTGAATGATTCACGTGCGTGTGTTGTTCGGTGCTCAAGATGTTCTTAAGCTTGTTACCGAAGGTTATGTTTCAGTTGCAGAAAACACAACGGAGGAACAGAGAAATGCGCAGAGAGATACAAGGAAGAAAGATCAAAAGGAATTGTTATTTATCCATCAGTGTGTGGATGAGAACATGTTTAAGAAAATTGTTGATTCGACGATGATGAAGGTTGCGTGGGACATACTGAGTAGGTGTTACGGTGGTGACACATCAGTGAAGAAGGTGAAGCTCCAGTCTCTCAGAAAGCAGTATGAGAATCTCAACATGAAGGACAATGAAAAGGTTTTTGAGTACATCTCTAGAGTGATTTTGATCACTAATGAGATGAAAGCTTGTGGAGAAACCCTTTTTGAACAAGTAATTATAGAGAAGATATTGAGGTTGCTTACTCCTCAAATTGATTACATTGTTGTAGCAATTGAACATTCTAAAGATTTGGACACCATGAGAATAGAAGAGCTGCAAAGCAGTCTAGCGGCACAAGAGTTGCGACTGACTAAAAGAACTTCTGAGAGGGGAGTTGAGTAGGCTCTGAAAGCTTCTTTTGTCAAGAAGGACCAGAAGTAGAGAAAACATGGTAGGTCTCAGAAGTCAGAAGTCGTCTATTCTTATGAAAAGAAACTCAGAAGGGAAAGAAGAAGTATGACAAGAGAATGGTTCAGTGTTACTGTTGTAAGCAGTTTGTCCACTTTGCTAAAGATTATTGGTCAAACAAAGAAGAAGTAAAAATAGCCAGAGGAGATTCAGATGATGAATCTGGGCTACTAATGGGTTATGAATCTGATGAGGAACCTGTGAAATTGTCATTTTCTGATTCTGAAGGGGAAGAAAATGACTGAATATTCTGGCTCTGAAGGAGTGTTTGAGTATGAGTCAAAATTAGAAGATGATGCTGAAGATTCTAAAGATGAGTCAAAATTTGAGGTTTCTAAAGATGAGTCAGAGTTAGAAAATGACTCTGAAGCTGAAGACAAGTCAAAATTCGAAGGTGATTCTGAGTTTGAATAAGAATCAGAAGATGAGTCGGAATCTGAAGAAGATTATTCCTCCGAAGATGAGTCAGAACTTGAAAGTTCTGAAGAAGAGCTAGAGTCAGAAGATGATGACTTTGGAAACTCTAAAGATGAGTCAGATGGTGAATTTGATTCTGATTTTGATCCAGATTTTGATGATGATCCAGAATCTGGTGGTGATCATGCTTTTGGAAGTAAAAACTCTGATGTAGGTTCTGAAGGACAAGATTTTGAAGATGATCATGTTTCTGGTGGAAATCATGTCTCTAAAGGTGGACCTTATAAAAGAGGGCTTCTAAAGGTAATCCAGCCTTTGACGGTGATCATGATTCTTAAAGTGGAACTTTTGAAGGAAGAGCTTTTGAAGGTAGTCCAACTTTTGAAGATGGTATTTCTAAAGGTAGTGGTTATGAATGATGTCTAGAAGCTAACAAAGGTGGAGCTTCTGGAGGTAGTCAAACTTCTGAAGAAAGTCCAGAAGGAGATATTATTCCTGAATCATAAGGAGATTTTTAACAAGTTCAGAGGCCACATAGAGTCAAAAATATACCAAGGATATTTGTAGAGTTTGACTAGTTGTAAGATACTGAAAGGGACTCTGAGGTATGGAATGTTATTCCCTTCTAGTGTTAGATCAGATGTAGAGATGATATGCTATCCAGACTTTGATTGGTATGAAGACAGAGTTGACAGAAGAAATATTTCTGGATATTTTTGTTTATATCTGGAAAGTCCTATTTTTTGGTGCTCCAAGAAGCAACTAGTGGTTGCGTTGTCAACATGTGAAGCTCTCAAGAAGAAAGTATGGTTGAATGCCATGAAAGAAAACTTGAGACATTAGAAAGAAACAAGATTTGGGAGTTAAATGAGTTTCCAAAGGAAAAGAAAACCATCAGCGTCAGATGGACTTTCAAGCTAAAATTTGTTTTTCTGAATGGGATTGCACATTGTAGCAACCAGAAGCTGTAACACCCCGAATTTTAGATTATTTATTTAATTAATTAATTTAGTATGATTATATGAGTCTATGTGAAGTAGATGGTATTTTTATGTTTTGGTGCCTTGTGTGAGTCCTTGTGACAGTATATGATGTATATTTGTGATGCAATTGTGATGCAAATAACGATGATTTGATGAATAAGGTGTTTAAGATGATGATTTGTGTGATATAGGATGAGCTAGTAAGAAGGTTTGAAATTTAAATAATTATTATGGAATTATTTAGATTTAATAGTGATTAATTGGAATTATTTTGATTTAAGTAATTAGAATAATAGAATAATAGAAGTGTAGAGAAAATAAGGACAAGATGGTAATTAGTAGAAAGAGTGAGGGCATGATGGTAAATGGTATAATTCTAAGTGAGGGAAATTGAGGAAGATATTAGGGGTCCTTGTGATAACTAAGGGAAAAAAGAATTGTACGATCATTTGGTACGATCGAGATATTGGGAGAAGAGCAAAGGAGAAGCTAGGACACAAGGAGACATGGAGGCAAAGAGGAATTTGTAGAATGAGAAGAGGAATCGAAAGCTAACAATAATCATAAGGTAATGGGGGTGAATGGATTCTCTAATTGGTGATCTTACATGAGAGGGTAGTGAGGGTTCATTTCCCTCTTAGGTTGTTTTATATGATTGATGCATAATTTGTTTGGTTTGATTGAATTGGTGTGTTGTATATGATTATACATGGACCTGTGATGCTATGTTGTGATTGTGTTGTTATGATGATTGTTGCACAAAACCTCAATCTAGAACCTATAAGTAATGAGAATTAGGATTTGAGGATTTTGGATGAGGATTTTGATGAAATATAAGATGAATAATAATGCCCAAATGATGTATAATTGATGTAGAAACATAGGATGATAATGGATGATGAATTCCTATGATTAAATGATGTTTTAGGACCCAAAATTTAGTGAAATCATGGAAAAATCGCAGAAAAACTCAGAATTTAACAGTTTGCGTCAACGTAAACAGGAAAGCGATCGACGCAAACAACAACAGCAGTGAGCGGAAAACAGCAATAGCAGGGGCGGTTAGTGTAAAATCCAGGAGTGGTCGACGCAAGGGTCGATGCAACCTAACTCGAGGGAAGCCCATTTTTTGACAATTTTTGTAACGGCCATAACTTTTGAACTGTAACTCCGTTTGATGCGTCATTCAAAGCATTGGATAGATAACACCATAAACTTGAATTAGGTAGAATAAAATAAAGATTTAGAAGGATAATTCTAGTAAATAAGTTAAAATAGGAATTATTCCCCGTTGTTACACTGA